TCCTCTCACAGGAACTACATCAAGCAGCACATTGTAAAGAATGGTAAAAGTAGACGTAAACTTTGAAGTTAAATTGTGCTTTTTTAAAAATACTTATGTGTGTGTATATATATATTTATATTTTGTATATATTTACATATACATGAAATACATGTAAAATGAAATTCTAGAATAAGCAAATAGTAAGTTTTAGGTCAGATACCCCAGGAAGATAAAGTTGTGTTGCCAGATTCCGCATAACCTCTTCTGTCAGGTCAGAGTGTTCCGAATCCCAGACTAAACCAATTGTGACAATCTCGGGACAATTCATAAGAACACGACGAATTTTTATTTTTTGACCACAGTTACTCTAGAAAAAGGAAAAATAAAAAATATGATGGGAAGGAAAGCAAAGATGTTTAAAAAAAATGGAAGTCCAAAGTTGAGTTACTAGACAAGAAATAGTGCAACAAAACAACTCTGCAATTCAATTCTCAAATTTAATTACGGTGTTTGTTTCTAACAATTTAATGGTAAAATTCTTCATCGTAAACACACTCTGATGAAGACTAAAGCTAAACTTCTACATCCAATCACCACCTTAAAACAGAAATCTCTGAAAACATCCACATCACCACCACAACTTCTCTTGTGTTCCCCCTCCATTTCAACATTTCAGCTTAGGTCTATATGTTCTTGTGTACTTTTCGATGGTTCATAAATTAACAGTATTTACACAGAACCATTAAAGGAAGACAGGAATTAAATAGAACAAGCTAAAAGAGACTATTTTTGTCAATAGAAGCACGAAATTATTCCAATAGCAGACAACACTGCCAAGCTGTCAGAGTATATGAACTAAAGCAGCTTCACTCAGAAAATACACCTGTTCCAACAAATTCAAACCACCTAGCGCTCTGTTGAACATGAAGGGAAGAATAAAACACGGAACTAATAACTTGACTTTCTAAACAGGCCACTTGTACCTACAATACCATGTTTATCTAGAACTGGAGCAATAAAATATAAATTTAAGGGCTTTTTTAGCCTAAGCTGGACCATGCTGAAGTGGCCACAGGTAATCCTGCTTTCAGGGGAATGCTTTAGCCTGATTTAATATCCTAAAAAGTCCTCCCTTGTATCTTGAAGTAATGCAACATCTTTGTTTACTTACAGGACACTTTCTGTAGTCATCAGCAGTATTTGCTGCCTGCAGCAATTCTGCAAACATTTCTGGCTTGAGACGTTCATGCCTCTCCATCATTCTTTCTACTTCATTACTGTAAAAAATAAATTGAAATAACTGTGTATCTCCCTTCGTAAGAGTTAACAGATTTCAGTCAACTCTCACTTAACAATATCTTATGACTAAAAAGAAAAGATACAGAGGTAAAACAGTAGCAATACATACTTTTTGTCAAGCTCTCTCTACATCTTGCTTTTGAAATCCAAATGTAACTTTTGGACAGTATCTCAAAAACACATTGTAACAAAGGAATACACATTCATTTTTAACACCTACAGCATTTCTCTGGCATGCTTTGCTTATTACTGGAAGGGTGTATATAGAAAAATGAGATACAAAAATAAAAGCTCTTACCACAGGGCTGTGGTAGAAATATAACGCACAAATTCCGTAAAAGGCAATGGGTCTGATGATGCTCCACAACTGCGACATACACACTACAAAAATAAAAATACTTTTTATTTACTCAGGACAGTGGAAATAAATTATTTGTTAAAGCAATCAAATAAAGGTCTGACCTGTTCATACAGTGTCATAGCAAACTTCTGATGAGAAATACAGGATTTTGAAGTGCACATATCTGTTTCACTGTTTGGCACTAGGTGAAAATGAATCCTCTCAAGGATATTTTCCTAAATAGAAATAATAATGTAAATATAAACTGAACTGATGAAGTGAGAATATGAGCAATGTTACAGTTTAATACTCCAACTACTCCCCTTGGCTCCAAATAGTACACCTAAAAGTTTAACGTGTATTTAATTCTGTCCCTATCCACAACCCAGTGGATGAGGATTCTCTTCATCTCAAGGTTTCCAAACATTAACAAAACAGCATCAGACAACAGTTACCCAACTGTTCTTCCAGAGTGCTTTCCCCTTTGAAGGAAGTGAATCTTCAAGAAAAATTAAAAAAGCTGTTCTTACAGTAAGACATGATACTAATGTCATTGCATGCAATGACTGAAATATTTTTTGTATCAGGCCTCTGTCTCAGTTATTCTTTACACTTTTACGTTTTTCTCTGCATATCAATCTGATCATCTGATCACATTTAGCACATGTGCCAGCAAAACAAGTACTGTTGACAGAAGCATGGAAAAAGCTCATAAATAGCACATGCCTGATCCCATGCCAAGTCTCATTTTTTAACCTTAAAAGAAAAGAAAAATAAACAAAAAGAAAAAAAAAAGTACTATCATTGTCACCAGTTTGGCCCCTGAATCAGCATGCATCTGGCAGGTAGGTATTCATTTGTGGATACTTCCAAAGGATGTCCAAAGCTGAAAGTAATCAAAGCAGCAACCATATTTTCTGTCCCTCAAATCTGTGTCTGAAGGTTAATACTGATTTTTTTTTTTTTTTGGTGAACAATTTTCATTGCCTAATACAGGACTTCTTCAAAAGGCTTCTTTACCAGCATTCTATGTGATCTTGAGTCATCTTTTATGGCCACAGGAATGGCTCATGTTTTTCAATGAGACACTTCATAAAAGCAGAAAGTAATTGCAGCAAGAGTCAAGATCTTCAAGTATTCGTTCACTCTTGGATAAGAAAATGGAAATCCCTTCTGCAGAAGACTTCAGTAATAAGCTGGCTAGTTCTAACGGAACATATTTCAATAGCTGATGAGAGAATACTTGGAGGAGCAGGCTACATATTCAAACCCGTAGGTGCCTCTTCTCCTGAGAAGATAACCCTTCTCTCCCTCCAAAAACTTTTAGGAGAGATTGAGAGTTCATCATCCTCACCAACCTTCTGTAGTAACAATGTTTCACATATCCCTCTGCCTGAGCTACAGTTAGGGAAGAAAGTATGGAACAAATGCAAGATTACCCCATCCCACATTGCCAGACACTTACTCCATGCGTTCCCCTAAACTGGCACAAAGGCCAGTAGTTATTACACAGCTTGTATCCCACCTGTGAGCCTGGTGCTACCAAAACAACAGGCCAGCTTGGCATCCTCAAAGCTAACGTAATTCTCAACAACTATCACAAAGAATACTTACAAAGCATTCTGCTGCATCATCCATGAATCCAAGCTGGAAACGCTGTTCATCCTTAAAACTTTCTGCCAGGGCATGTCTCATATTATCTGATGGGAGTGCTTTTTCTCGACTGTGTTGAAATTGTGAAAATATTGCCTAGAAAGGAATATGATTACTTAGCTTCATTAGCCACTTGACTAGACACTGTGGTTCTACATAAATACATCAGTTCTTATGCAGCATGCCTAAACAGCAAATATATAAAATGTTTATAATTCTATGCAACTTTAGAAATTACTGTTTTCTCTTAAAGTTACTTAGGTTCTGTGTTCTGTTATTCATTCCATTATAACAAGTTATGCTACCAAACTGAACTTTGATCCAATAGAAGAACAACATAGAAGTATATAAAAATGCAAGTGATTGACTTTAGCTCCCAGAAGCAACACAAGCCCTGGTTTGTAACTATGCAGCTTTTTTAATTTGGCCACTGGAATAGTGCTTCATGCATAAGTATCTCATCTTTAAAGATGGTGTGTATCTCTCATGGCATAATATACTACCGCTCAGGTTAGTTAACACCCATCATTCATTAAATAATGTAACATTCACATTACTACTTGAGACTGGAGTGTATCTTTATTAACATTATGGGTATGCAAAAGACTTCCATAAATTAGGTAGAATGCTAATAATCCTTGCTATTAAATCAGCTCTCTGCTGAACCAGTGCACACAAGAGAACAAGTCTATCTGCAGTTCCAGAACATGAGAATAAATTGCACCTGATTTTTTTTTTTTTCATTTCCCAGAAGAGATAGTTGGCTACTACTTTTTTTTTTTTTTGGCAGAGATACGTATGCAAGTGACCTCATCATTTAGCAAGTAACGGAGATTGATTTTGAAAGAACTGAAAGTTAAAAGCTATTAAACGAATGAGAAAACATTTGCAGATATTAAAGGGTGTATTCCACTGTCAAGAATTCTAAGTGAAAATTTTGAGAAAAATGAAGAGAATAAAGACAAAGCAAATCAGGAGAAGTCATGTAAAATACAAATAAGGATATGTATTCTTCACATAGGCTTCCTATGGTTAAAAAAATCTGTTGGACAGAAGGCAAAGATACAACAGACAAGCAAAGTTTCAGTGCTAACAGAAAGTAGTGTTTTAACCATGATGCATTCCAGGGTAAGTGTCTGTCAAATATTTAAACTTCCCTCTCATAACAAAAAGCATGGACTACTGATAAAAATTACAGTCAATATCTCAAGGTAAACATTCAAAATTAAGTTCTTAACCGATCTGGTAATACAAGTTAACTCTGCTTTGAAAACATTTATCACTTCCCATTTTGGCTGCTAGGTCATTTTTGGTATGCAACAGAGCCTTACATGTCCAGCTAAAAAAAAAGTACAGATAAGCAGTTATGCAGATACGTATGCTCATTTTAGTGGCCTGCATAGTCAGAGTCCCAGCCCAGTGTTATGCAGAGAAGAGCATATTTAACTCTCAGAACACCACCAAAAGAAAAAGATAATGGATTAAACTAAAGTAAACCAGAATTTATTGGCTATGCTTTTAGTTTATAGGAGAGGCTGATATAGATAAAATATCCTTCTTTATTGGTGAAGAAGTAAGAAGGGTTAAAATAGCCCAAGTCCACAAAAAAAAATGCAACCCCCAAACCAAAAAACAAACCAAGTCACAAACAAGTTACTGAAATGCATCCTCATCCAGCATACACACTGCATGAAAATCAAAATGCCCCAGGTTCTGAACACAGAACAAACAGAATCACTCAACCAGTATCTCTAAAAAGCCAAAAAAGCAAACCCAGTAGTGTACATAATGACTGAGGACAGATACTTCCAAATGAGTTAACCACAATGTTTTGAGTTCAGGACCTAGGCTACTGGCCATGCAGTTACAAAGATCACAACTATACTGTTAACGCAATAATTAATTCCATTCTAACCAATTTCAGAACAGGCAGCAATACCACTTCTTATCAGTATTCTTGGGAACGTATCAAAATAGGAAGACATGACAGTCCAGGCAATGCAAAATATTCAGGTACAGTAATCCATTTAGATAAATCGCACAAGAAGATGCATCATGGGGGTAATCAATCCCTCAAGAACAGATACCTGAAAGAATAAAGAAAATTTCAAGTCCTAAATTACAGCAGCCTTATGAAGCAACTGAAGCTAGTGTATTGCCCTGGAAGGGGACTTGAAGTGATGCAAAACCTATCTTATTTTGTAGTGGAGCCTCAAAAACTACAGGAAGACAGAGGGTATTAAGGTACAGCAAGTGGTACGTTTACCTTGAAAAAAAAGAAGCACCTGGTCTTCACAAGTGTATCATTAGAATAGAACGACTCATTACTTACAGGTTCAACTGCAACACACCATGAGCACTACCTTCTTCATGTTTCTGAGCACACTGAAGCTCCTACATTATTTTTCGCTATGATTTCAGTGATAGGATTAGTCATGAAGAGTACATATTGTAACACATACATTCCAGCCATTCTCACCCTTCAATCCCACTTCATTTCTTAAAGGCAGTTCCAGTGCAGCATTGAACAAGACTGTATAATGACCAGAACTTCACATGTAATATGGGTCAAATCAAAAGGAAAAGGCCATCAAGTTTATGCTATATTATGACATCAGATATGAACATGAATCCCTATACATGCAAAACTCCAGGAAACTAAAAGCTATCATCCCCAGACAGACACAAGATTTTGTCTGAAAACATAGGTATGCCTGAGTTACTGTCTGGACCTTACGTACTAACAAAATCAAGCATCCAGCATGCAGAACAACATGATATGCATCAAAACACTAACGAAACAGAAAGTCCCAACAAGTTCTGTAGAGTCAACAGCTTGTAAAAAGGTTGGAATAAAAGCATCGGGAAGTTAGTCTGAATATGTGGTCTCAACCTACTCCAACTTGTTGGCTTTTTAAAATTAACCATTTTAACCAAAGAAATAAAATGGCACCTTTTAAAAAAAAAACTATATTCGGAAAAAGACAGAGACACATTCAAAACCAACTGTACCACACTGCAATCATGATAAACACTAAAAGTGGCTGAAAAATCCCTACACAGTACATAGATTATACACCTCCTGTAAGATTAAATAAATGTCACTGCAAACAGTTCTTGCCTAAAATGCTTATTCAGTAACAAGGTTTGGTTTGTGAAACTCCCCGAGAATAAACTCTAAAATACTTGGCTTATCCTTTCCTACAATTTAGCATTGTCAAAAAACACTTCCTACATTTTCAAATAGCGTTGTCCCTTTCAGCTCCCTTCAGATGAGTGATTCCCAGTTGTATCTATCACTACATCTACTACCATATTTGACTATACGGTCTACAGTCCTGCATTAGAATCCCAAGTGTCTTTATTGTCAAATTGCAGTAAGAGTAGAAAGTACATACTACTAAAAAAAAAACCCACCCATTTTTTTTATTGTGATTTTTATCCCAATGAAACACAGGTATCATGCTTACAGCTGTTTCCCTAGCAACTGCAGGCAGCCAAATTACCAGTGCAGTAAAAGCAATAACAACCTAACAGAACACAACATTTGTTTACAGACTTCAGAGGAGTTACAAAATTGTTTGAAGCACAAGTTTTACGCACTACTTAAGATATGCAGATCTGACTTACTTTCAAACACTAAGAAGGTAACAGCTTTCATTAGTTCTCCAGTACCACTACCTGCCTTTCATCACTTACAAACCGAACAAGTAAGTTCTGCACTGTTACCATCAACTACCGAGTAAAAAAAGAATCTTGAGACCTTATCAGACAGTAATCTAGTTATTGTAAAAGAACTGTATTCAAACACTATGGGAAAGAACAAAAGCATATGCATGCAAATAGAAGGAAAAAAACTCCAAGAGGCTAGCTAGAAATTTTCAAATAATATACTGTCTTTTAATAGACAACAGTTTTATGTTTAAGCAGACTGTAAAATTTGTGTACTGTAAAATTTCTTCTTTAAACACAAGAAAATATTTCTGTTACAAACATCTGTTACAAATGTCCTTAAATCTAAATTGTTTCTTTACACAAGAATGACTTAGAGTTACCCAGATATATATAAGGATATAAATTAGTAAAAATTAGTTAAATTATTTTTCCCTCATTTTGAAAGATGATTCTTCCAAAAATTATTATTTACCTTTAAAGCACAAAATATGCACGCATCTCCCTGACACACATGTCCAGTTAAACCTCTTAAACTTCGTCGAAATATGTCAAGTTGCCATAATACCTACAAAAATAAAGTTCCACAGAAAATAAGTAATGAGTTCTGAAGGTTCTACATTTAACACAGCAACAAATAGTAGTTTTTTGTTTTTTTTTAAATTTCACATAACATGTACAACTTGAGCACCAACATTGCTACAAGAATTATGGTCCTTTTCCATTAGTTTGGTAAATTGTAGAAGTGAAAGGTTCGCATTGACCACTCATAAAATTTAGATCTCCTTTGTAAACTTTTGAAACAATGGCAAACAATGTACTTTGGGTGGAAAAAGAGCTGAAATACTCTTAAGGAAACAAGCAGCAAGCTAAACTGTGTACAGAGATTGCAATAGTCATCTTAACGCTTTATGTAAGAGGAAGGCGGCTATGGGGTTTACTTAATTTCTTTCCCTCTCTCCCCCTCTGTGCTTTCTTTCAAATTAAAAAAAAAAAAAAAAGAGGATGGAAACGTGGAAACAGAATTGTTAGGTAAAATGCAAGCATCATTTTGGGTTAAATCTATACTACATTCTTATGGTCTCTTACTAAAAAGATTGCAGAAATGAATTTGTTTTTCCACAGATCAAAATAATCCTGGTGCTTAATCAGGTATGTTTCTACCTTTTATTTACGTAACTACTCTATAGGAAGGTAATGTCAGCTTGACCACACTACGCTGCTTTCAGTATCTAATGTCTTAGGTACACAATCAGTGCAGTAGTTCAGAAAGTTGCCCATTAAAAAAATAAACACAACCCCCCCCCAAATGAGTTCTCAAGAGGCTCAGTAACACAACAGCTGCAAATCCAGAAAAAAAAAAATCCTATCTATAAATATAGAAGCTAAAATGAATTAGGATGCATTTGAAAATGAATGTCAACCTCAGTTCTGAAGGTTGAACAGAGGTTAAAAGAAAAGAAAGGAACACATTCCTCCTTGTAGCAGGGCAGTCACCCACTGATCATCAGCCACCGTTTGATAAACAGCAGTAGGTTGTGAGGTAGTAGCATTGTCTGAAACTATAACTAAAAATGACTTAGGGTTTAATTTTAGGGCACCCTAAGGGAAAATAGCAAAACTGCACGAGAATATAGGTCAGGTTGTTCCCATTGAATGTAAACCAGCAAACTCATTCTACTAAATCTATTGTACCTTTTTAAACATATTTAGTTACCATACACATACACACCACGTAGATATAGCTCTCATACCTCTTATGATTAAAACCATTTTTAAGACTTACAGTTTTTTTTAGGAAGTCTATGCATCCATTAAGCCCTCTGCCAGTTTGGCAAATAATTGTGTACAATTTGAAAAAGATCAGGTCCAAAATCTAAGCATTACAAAAAAAAAAAATTACATTGTTCTGCTCTTTATTTGCACAGCCTAGAAATTTTCTGTTGTTGTTAATTTCTAAAAAGAAATTACAGTATAAATGAAACTGTGCCTGCTATTCTGACTTGCAGACAATGTGGAAAGGCTAGCATTGCTCTGTCACAGAATTAAGTAGATTCCCATATTCCCTGTTGTAAGTAGGCTTGTAAAAACTCAAATTTTTATCATGCTAATGTCACTGTACTATTAAACTACACTTGAGAGATCTAAGGAGCCAACATTTTTTCGATTACAGCTCATGTAAAAACAGAAGAGTGTAGGTAAACACATGCAAGAAGTTGGTCGGTAATACCTACGTATACAAACAGTAAAATGAAATCTAAGTCATATGTCTTTGGTATCAAGTATATTTCCTACTCTAATTCCAGAAATCTTTCCTAAAATTGGAATCAAAGCTTTCAACTATATGTGCATCTCCTGATATGCCCCAGTACCACAGACTCATGTGCTAATTCTGAGAAAATGGGATTTTAACACTGTCCTATTCAATACAAGCAGTAGTACTGGTTGCCCCACATTAAAAAGTGTCTTGTATATTTTGCGAAGTAATAAAACTGCTATGTTTGACAGAAACATTAGTTTTAAAATTCAAGCAGCAAGTTTTAAAAGTCCTAAGTTTCCAAATACAGAAGGAAAGTTTTTCTGATATTCTTAATGCGTGCAAAGTAACATGCTGCCATTTTTTGCAGAAGTAAATATTTAATACTCTCAAATGAATTCCTTAACATGAAATGCTAAATAAAATTACTTCCACACAGCTGTCTTTTCTATTATTCCCACATTTTCTTTTTTTTTTTTGAAAGTCCATTCCATTCCAAAATGACACACTATTCTGTCTTACTTGGAATCATTAAGAAGTTTAACTGAGAACTGAATTTAACACCATTGAAAAATGTGCTGTATTTTTCTGTAGAATACACGTACTGCAATACAAATGGTAAAAACAGCATTGCTAAGAGAACGCTTCCCTACTATGACCATCTAAGCTGCTACAAAACTAGAACTGTTTAATAAATCAAGTTTTTCTTACCTGAACAGCACTATTAAGAAAGCAGCTGTTTTGTCCCGGTTCATTTAATAAGCCTTTTGTAGGGGCCAGGGACAGTATACTTCCAGGCTGATAAACTTTTCCAAGGTTACCCCCAGGTTTTCTTAAGAATTTCACCCATGCCATTATTTTTTAAACTTTATAATTGCAATTTTTACGCTTAAATATTTAAGGATATGATGGGTGCAAGGCAGAGAAGAAGGTCCTAAGAGAACTGCTCTAGAGTCATGGCATTCCATTCAACTCTGTGCAATAGTAACCATTCGTGGGTTCAAGTCCATCTTCCATGAGCAGCTGTCAGCCATCTAAGGATCAGTTTCTCAGTTAAAATACAGCTATACAAAGTTTTTAACTCTCAGACTTTAAAAAAAAAAAAAGTGTCCAGTTAAGGTTAAAACGTGTTAAAGTTATTAGAATAAAAGTTCTTATTAAGCAAGTTGCACAGTAACTGACTTCTCCTTCCAGGGATATCAATAAAGTAGTACTATAAATCATTAGTTGTATTATATCGCAAGTTCATATATATCACAAAAATGGAAAATTCTTGACAGGCGTTACACTCCTGTTCTCTCATTTTGTTCCATCTTCTTTTTACTTTTAACTGTAACCCATGAAATATATTCCAGTTTAGAAGACTCCATGTTTATTTCATTCTCTTTCCAGTGAATCTGAAATAGAAAAAAACCAGAAAATATAAAAATGGAATTTTCCAAAATGTTAAAGACCATCTGAATCAGAAAAAAGATCATGGCCAAAACAGCTCTTAATCTAAAGGCAGATGCATTAACCAGGGAAGAGGAGGAGAAGCAATTGCCAGCTACGAGTTGTTTTTAAGGCAGAAAAACTAAATTATTTTACCTGTCATAATCAATTACCTTCTAACTTATTATACACCTCTAAAGACCACGATAAAATTACTGTAAAGGTTCTGCTGATAATATGCAACAGCTTATAAAAAGACCATATAAAACATGAGTTATTCTAATACTAATTGCCAAGTTAGTAAAAAGATTACCAAGAAATAAATATTTTTATTCAACTCTTGAAAGCCTAAGATGGTTGTGATTTCAATATCCCAGCAAATCACATGAACATATTTCTATGCCTTAAGATTACTAAGATGCTATGCATGGATTCTCAGCTCGTACTCAGCTTCCAAAATTTTGTACTTGCTAGTAAACACTACATAAATACGTCATTAACCTAGCTGCATTCTTAAAGCATCCAGGAAAACAGAGCTAATAGCAGAGCAAGAACATTCAGGTAGCTGCCCCCATAAGTGATTCCAAGATTTTCAAATTCCAGCAATAAGAGTTGTTTCTCTTATTGTTGAAGGTACATATTTAAGGTTAAATGACTCATCATCCGGAACACCACCACAGGCACATGTAAAGCCCATGCAGTGATCATCTCACAACAATGGATTATTCAATCAGTTTGGCATTACCACATCATCCACACAAACATTTCAAGTAATGACACAGAACAGAATAAACTTAAAAAACCCAAAGCAATTAAGGCTGCCTATTTGGGGGAGGAAAGGTGAAATTTGGGCCTCACGTTACAACCAAGATACTCACCTTAGATTTTACAAGCATGTGAGATACTAAAAATGTATCAGTATACTTCAAAACTTGCAGCCTTCTCACTACAATTTTTTCCACTGTGCAAGCCTTTCAAGATTGGTGAGCAGCGTTAAAAAACAAAAATAAATTTTGTAGTTGGAATGCTGCATATATTGGAAGATAACTTTCCCCAGCTTAGAACAACCAACACCACATTCCCGTCAAACAGTTTTACAGCTCTCAAATATTGTACAGCTGGGATGCCACAGAAACAAATCCCATGACTTTCAAAGATACCTGCAGAAAGTCTTGCACCCCTAAAACCATTCCCCTTTACTTGAAAGAAACATTGGTATTTGCTTGTATTATCAAAAAAATCAATACCTGGAACCTAATCAAAAGTCTCTTTTGCTCCATGCACAATCAGATGGGTTTTGTTTGTTTACTGATGTTACTCTATCTCACCCGTAAGTAATTTGATTTAATAATACTGGAAATAGTAAGTGCGATTTGTGACAGCACTGAACAAGGAGTCTGAAATCTAACTGGAAACTGACCTTGACAGAATATCATATGATAATTTTGTTTTCTTTATGTTCACTTCAATAAACCCAGAAAGAGGAAAAAAAAAAAAAAAGAGAAAGATGTAACTGGAAATGAGTATCAGTTTAAGATCTTATTAGAACCCTGAATTAATTAAAAGGAGTATCAACTTCAATTATTTTTTTCCACATAGAAGTCAAAGTGCTCCACAGCATAACAGCTATTCTTTTACAAAGGACTAAACAAAAAGAAAACAGGGACAGAGGTGAAGGTAAAACAAAGATTAACACAGAAGAAGATTAAAAATTCTCTCAAGTCATGTATGCAGAAGTAATAACATGATCTGTATAGAGCAAATAAAGGAAAGAAAATATTTTTAACTAGTGTTTTCATTGGAAAGTTTCAGTACAGCACATAAGTAGAAAATAATGAATCACTACAGTAAAGATGAATAAAGAGGAGTCAAGGAAAAAAATCCAAGGTAATATAGCTGTTTATAATCAGATACATATATATATGTACACATACACAAAAAATACTTATACATATGTATTCAAGAAGCCAGAATCACACATCAGAAGCGCTTAGCAATATGAAGCATCGTTTGGCCCAAAGTCTCCTGCTATCACAGGGAACCGTAACTTTTAATTCCTAAAAATAACATTATAACTATGATTTAAAAAATAAATTAAAAAAAACCCAGAAGAATCTTACAACAATAGTATCTACTCTTTCAACCATCAAATATTTTCTACTGATTTCTGATTTAATATTACTATAGCCATACTGAAAAGCTGACCTAATATATTTTTGTCACAAAAAGAGCTTGCTCCTTGACATACCAGAGAAGCTTCTTGAGCACGCATTTTCCTGGCAACAGAGTTCTTAATTCCACTCTATGTAATTTCCCATACGGAGAATTACATATGGTTTTCTCCACCCTCCTGCTGCTGTCCCAGAAGACAAAACTGAAGTTAAGATGAACAATTTTTGGTAATCAGCAATATCAAACTGGGTACACTGAAGGGGAAAAAACAAGAAAGAGACTGGATTGGGAACTGTACAGATGGCCTGCGATAGCCGTAAAGGTATAAAGTGTGTTTGCACTCCAGCATATGCTTGACATGTCCGTCACTGTGCTCCTACCTTTGAGGAGACAGGAGCAACAGGATCAATACGGTTCTGACCCAGAAACACCAGGCTTGCTATCAGGGTCTCCCAAGCTAAAATAAATTCCCTCCTGAACACACTACACCTCTCACCTCCAAAACTGCTCATGCGGTGGTACCCCACCAACAGTGGCGATTCAGCTAGCCTGTCCCCTGCTGTCTGTATTTCAATGTAAAGATTGCTTAGCATATCAGCCAAAATAAGGGAAGGAAATAGATGGAAAGTAAGGTAGACTGTATGCCAACGATAAAATACAGCAGTTACTGGGAAAAGACATGTTTCTGGTATCTAAATTTCCTTTGGAAACAGATCTCACATATTCAGCTGTGAGGTTGGACTACTGTTGGTTAAAGAAATCCAAGAATAGACAAGAATGGCAGGATTCATTTCCAGCCAAAAAAAAAAAAAAAAAAAAAAAAAGGTTGAATTCTTGCTTCGTAAGTTATTTTCTCATCTGAAGAAAAGTGTAATGATAGACCCAAAGATATGTTAAATTTGGGAAACATTTGTGTTCTTTTTTTCTTTAAATGCAAATGGGAGAGAACTACTACAAACTACAAACACATCTGTGAAACTAACCCCTAAGACCAACAGACAAAAATTATAAAATATTCAGAAAAATTTTACCTCTGTAGTTAGCATTTTCAGCCTTGGGACTTCTATTAATTCACAAGGGTAGAAGAGATTCCATCAACTTTTATGTTTCTTTCTTGTCATACTTTCAAGCACAATTTCCCCATGTTTCTGAACAACAGATTTATGCATGGATATGGGGGGGAAGAACCTCTGAATTTACCTAGCCTGTATTTTAACTGCTAAGAAATACACATGCTGTTTTGGAAAAAAAGAGTTCTTCCAGAACAACTTAAGACAAAGAGCTATCGTTCACTAAGAACTTCTAAAAAGTTGTTCTGTCTTGCATTTCAGGGATGCCCTAGAACAAACATCCCATGCACTAAGCATTTAGCTGTTGGGCTGGGTTTCAGAAAAGTTGTAATGATTCACTGCAAGAATTTAATAAAAAATGATTCTGGATTAGTTCTACGTTACTGTCACATTACATTAAGATGCTTGCTGTTTAATTTGTCATCCACAAAGTTGTGAATACAAACAATTTCCACTATCACACCCAGTAACTGCACACAATCTTCTTCTAATAAACTGCAGAATACATTCATTGTACAGTTTTCATATGTGGGCCAGATACTCATTTTCCAAAGCACTGTGATATTATATTCCTATGGCCTCTATTAACTACCCACAACATTAGTACACCTTTTCCTGAAAAATTAAATACAACACTAGAAAGAAATGACTACTTAAAAATTATTGTTATGCAACCCTCTCAAATTACTCTTTCTATAAGTGCATTCTTTAAACTGCATGTTGAACTAAACATATCCCCTCACAGCAATTCCAACGTGCATCAACTATTTAAGAAAAAACAAGACGGGCATATGAGAAAGGTATTCTATTTAAAAGAGCTTTCTGTACTTCTACTATTCAACTAGAACTTTGCACTGAATGGGCAGTCTAGTCCCTTTGTTTTATCTACTACTCTTCCTCCCCAAAAATGGTGAGAGTCAACCCAACGAACAGACAGTAGCATGAAAGAATACTATCTTGACACACTGTTCTCTGGCCAACATGAGTAGTAAGTCCTGGCGTAGGAAGCTCTACTACTCTTGCTTTCTCCACTAACACCCTTGTGGTATTAGGGTGCACAGCTTATTCACTCCTAAGAGGGGCACTGTAGACGAGCCTTCCAACAGTGCCATAAGCAATGGGATTAACTTCTGTCATCCATTTGTCATCACAGCCTCTCCCTAAGGAGAGAAAGTTTATAGT